CCCCTCCGCTTTCTTTTTGTGTGTTTTTATTATCTTATAACACCTCTAATTAATTTTCAGCACTTATATTATGACCTCATTGGGTTGCAGATGCTGTAAAACTCTTATAGTTCGTGGTTAGTGGGTGCTCTGGTGTGGTTTGCTCCTTCTTTCCTTTCAGACATCTATCGTCCTAATCTCCCCTCCTTCTTTTCACTGTGTTGTAAATGCTGTAAAACTCTAACTGTTGGTGGTTGGTGGGTGCTATGGTGTGGTTTGCTCCTTCTTTCCTTTCAGACATCTATCGTCCTTATCTCCCCTCCTCTTCTTTTTGATGTTTGTTACTCTCATGTAACACATCTAATCTTCTGGCGCTCATATGACCTTATGCAGTTGCGAGCGCCGTAAAACCTCTCCTAAAACTAACTATCTCCCCTCCTTTTGCGTGTGTGTGTGTGTGTGTGTGCTGTAGCTCTCTTGTAACCCTTCAGTGACTTCTTCTATTTAATTTTCAGCACTTCTATGACCTCATTGGGTTGCAGATGCTGTAAAACTCTTATAGTTCGTGGTTAGTGGGTGCTCTGCTGTGGTTTGCTCCTTCCTTCCTTTCAGACATCTATCGTCCTAATCTCCCCTCCTTCTTTTCACTGTGTTGCAAATGCTGTAAAACTCTAACTGTTGGTGGTTGGTGGGTGCTATGGTGTGGTTTGCTCCTTCTTTCCTTTCAAACATCTATCGTCCTTTTCTTCCCTCCTCTTCTTTCCTATGAAACATCTATCGTCCTTATCTCCACTTCTTTTTTATGTTTGTTACTCTCTTGTAACATCTCTAATCTTCTGGCGCTCATATGACCTTATGCCTACAACTAACTATATCGCCTCTTTCTTTTCTGTGTGTGTTGCTACTCTGTTGTAACTCTTCTAATTAATTTTCAGCACTTATATTATGACCTCACTGTGTTGCAAATGCTGTAAAACTCTTACTGTTGGTGGTTGGCGGGTGCTCAGGTGTGGTTTGTTCCTTTTTTCCAGCCTATCGCAAACGTCTATCGTCCTTATCTTACTTCCTTCTTTTATGTGTGTGTTTTTACTCTCCTGTAACACCTCTAAAATTAGTTTTCAGCACTTATATTATGACTTCACTGTGTTGCAAATGCTGTAAAACTCGTACTGTGGGCTGTTGGCGGCCGAGTGCTCTTGTGTGGTTTGTTCCTTCTTTCCTGCCTATCGCAAACATCTATCGTCCTTATCTTACCTCATTTTTTGTTACTCCCTTTGTAACACCTCTAATTTTCAACACGTATATGACTTTATATTGTGTTGCAGGTGCTGTAAAACTCTTACCAAAACTAATTGACACTTTTTTTTTGAAGAATTCTGTTTCGCGATTTGCGAGTTGTGGTGTTTGTGATCAACACAATTTGCTTTCTCTGCTATCTCCTTGACTTTTATCTCTCTCTCTCTCTCTCTCTCTCTCTCTCTCTCTCTCTCTCTCTCTCTCTCTCCCTCTACCATGCTAGTTGTGTGTGGTAACTACATTGTCAAACCTTCTCTTCATCCTTGGATGTTAAAAGTGATTATCAGCTAACAACAGACAGATGATGATGATGATGATGATGATGATGATGATGATGATGATGATGATGATGA